GTGACTACAATGGCTATATTGTTTCACTCGAAATCTCGGAATTTCCAATAAACTAGCTGAATTCAATGAAAAATTTCTCTCACTCACGATTTTCACGTTCTATCTTTTTCTATTCTCGACTGAAACTATTGGAAATATCTGATTGTGAGCTCCCGAGAAGTTTCTTTCAGAGTTTTGAAATTGGAAAAATTTCCGCTAAGCCACTGATCGAGATCATTGAATGATCATAATCATCAGTATGGGGCGCATAATGAAGAGGAATTGTGAAGATGCAGCAATGAGGTGATATTCCTGAAATGACCACAACAATGCAGTGAACTTTCAATAGCGCTCTGGGTGAGTGCATCCGGTTGGCTGTGTGAATCGGTGAAGTATCTGGCATAACAGGGAACCATGAAACGTGTTGAAGCCATCTCAAGAATAGCCGTATGCGTTGTGGCCGCACCACAGATCACAGCTAGCACTGAAATTTATTCCTCCGTATTTGTGACCTTTCAGATGTGATCGTTTAAAATTGCTGAATTTACTTTTTCGAACCGAACGATCTGTCAGCTCGTCGAAATATCTAATCATTGCAAAATGATCACTCTAGAAAAACTAGAAGCTGAAAATTTTGATTGAGCTGGTAGTTAATCATGAATTGCTGTCCTTGACCTGAATAGGTCTGGCATTGTTTTCCCTCTTCCAATTGAGTAGCAAATTCAAAAGCTTTTAAAATCATATCAATTCTTTTAGTTTTCTCCGTCGTCAAGGTAAAATAATGAAGGTCGCAGCGAAAATATTCAAAGTTTAATGACATATCAATATTCACTAACCAATTATGGCGATATTGATGAGAAGCCTTGTTTTTGGTGTTTTTTCGATTACCCTGCAAGCATCACTCCATCAGAAATGATCACTTCTAAGCGATCAACTTAACGTGTGTCCATTCTACTTCATTAGCTTCGGAACTTTGCGAGGACACTTTAGAACTGCTCAACTGATGCAGTTTTTGATCAAAACGAAACACTCTTCGTACTGTATCGAAATCAAACCATATAATTCAAACGAATAAAGCTGATGGGATCGTATTGATCAGTGCACTCTTGACGATATATTTAGTTATCAAGTAAGGAATGAACCTAAGGATTAAGGACAAGTTCGAGCTGAAACTGAAGCAAACCCAATCGAAGTAACCGGATCAGTCCTAAAACTTACTCAACAAAGGTTGGTCGTCTGTACTTCTTGGTGACCGTATCAATGGTCAACGCTTTCAGATACAAATTGTAAAGTGCTGGTAGAATGGCAGACGTCAACGCTACAGTTGTCCCGCCGATCACGTTCAGAATAGGACCAAATTTTGGGATTGACTCGGCCGTAAAGACAATACCAAGCATAACGCATGAACGCACAACTAAACGTTGCCATCCAAAATCTGAAATTTGTCCGTCGTTATGGAATAATTGGAACGGTTTAAAAAGGGAAACTGAAACGAAAATCTACTGAATGATAGAGGAAGATATTATAGCGAGTAAAATTAACTCACGATGCGGAATGTCGAACAGGTGTTCAACTTCTTGATTCAGCGGGTTTATGATTATGGTTAGCGTCAAAATACAATGCATCGCTATCAGTAGATTTGCAGCACTCTTGATCCATTCAGTCTATGAAATTGCTTTTCATAATATCACATTGATTACTTTCGATCAAATGCTTAATCTGATATCAATTGTACTGGATCGATTATGAGTGCCTTGATTTGTTCAATCAATCAGCAATTTTAATGTAACTCATAATGAGCTCCCGTACATGCCTCCATCTAACTACTGTATTCTCACAAAACTCTTTCATTGATCAATTACAGATCAAATGCATGAAATTGGGCGGTTTAATGAAACCTCATTGGTAAGAAATCGAACCAGTTTGATTATTTGAACCTAAAATGTGGAGTGAAATTTCACGGGATGCAATTTACCTGAATCGAACTAATGATCGATTCTCCAAGACTGTCACCATAAGTGAAATAGCCCAAAAATGAGATCGGTGCGTACATAGCTGTGACTACTGAAAATTAAGCTTAGTTACATTCTATTGCAAATGAGAAGGTGAAGATAATAGATTCATATCATTGATTGATTCATTAACAATTGCCGAGAGTAACACACCACAACTTTAAGGCGCGTACTCACGTTTCTGGACTACACACTGGATTTTGATGGTGACATATTTATGTAATGTGTGATATTCACCAATAGAATTTTTCATCGATGTGCTCAAACCTATTGAATGATCATAACTGAAACTGAGTGGAAATAAACGAACTGCTGAACGCAACAATAGCTGAGCGTGTGAAATGCTTTGGTTTTTTCATATCGTGTTGAATGGTCGGAAATACAGCATGACCACCGAACGCAAACATGAACGTTCCTAACGACAACATCAAACTACTCCACTGAAATGGTGGCCTATACGCAACCGGTTCACAACTGCCATAGTCTCGAGCCGTTCCGACAACGATCAAAATCACCGAAAACACCGTTGTGAGCATGGCGACAACGATGGCCCACCTGGAACACCAACAGTCAAAACATTTCTTCATTATCGGATTTACACCACCAAATTCAAACTTTTGTCATGATATTCTTTGATTTTCTTGAATGATCCATATCTGAATTATCGCAAAGTCTTGTGCAGTTTTCTTCAACAAGAGTATCGCATTTGACAATTATTAGTTCAACCTTGCATATGTGGTTCAGAACAACGGTTTTTTCGATTTCCCAGGCTGTAACCGCAACGGCTAGCAACCTGTCTGGATTAGGTGATTTCCTTCATCTCGGCTCTTGCCCAACCTTGCCACCTTAACAGGGGCAGATCCAAATGAATGCGAGTATATAACAAACCAGAAATCTTGAGGTGACTTGAGCAAGGTGACTGGCCATAAGAGTGTGGCAACAATGAGGACAATGTAACAAAGTCCAATTGAATGACCCATTATGGATGTGATGAAATCGTTGATGATATGTGATGAAAGTAGCAAGAATACCACTGATACACCGAACAACATAATATTTAGAGTTGCTGAACAGAATGATCTAAAAATGGAATGATACAATCAAGATCTTTATTAAAGTTGGTTCCTCAGGTCAGATAATAGTTGATTGATGGAATCTAGAACTGTTCCTGGATTCTGAGAACAAGAATCATCTCTATCTCTACATTATGGTCTGCTCATAGCTGGCTGATCTACCCGGTTGTTCAAATTTGAGATTTTGGCTAGGTTAATAGAGAAGATTGATCAAATTCGAGCAAAATTTCAGTGAAAAGACCGCTCAATTTGGATCTGATCATTACCACCTGTCTTGAAACCCTCTAAAAATTTCGTTGGGTTTCCATGAATTCTGCGCTGAAATGTTTCGATTGGAAAACTGAACATTGCTTCGAAACTCACCTAGCGTTTGAGCCCATTGCGCGATAGGCCATCTCAGGATAAGGTTTCCTACAATGCTCCGTGTACTCGCTCCATCGTTCACACATTATTGTCCAATTCTCGGACAACAAATGTGCCGTATAGCAAAAAGCACTACATAATACTACGATTACCAACGCACCTGCCACGCCACCTGAAATCAATTTTAGGTTCCACAGTGATTTTCTCAATTCGAAACTCTATTCGGCGGATTATTTGATGCACTTTTTGCTGGACTGATTAATTTCGATGCGACTTTTTAGTGGTTTTCAATTGATGAATTGGTCTGATGATGCGAAATGACATCAAAAGTCTGATGAAATTTTGCAATTCGATAAAAATTTAACAAGTCGTGTGCCCAATAAGTCATAATCTTCCTTATCATTCTGAAAAAGATGACAAAATTCTAAAAAACCAATAACAACTGGTTTATTTTCTTGCAGTGGAGTGTGAAATGTCTCAGGAATTCAAAGCTTCCCTTCTTTGCGTCACA